CTTTTCTCCTGGTCTGTGGAATGTACACTGCACATCTCAAGCCCATAACTCATGTTCGAGCAAACGTCTAATACCGTTACTCAATAACTACTGACTACTTCTTATTAATTCTTTTGTGATTATTTACTCTTGCGGTCGGATAAAATATGTATATTTATGTAAGTGTCGTTCAGGAGCAGAAAGATTTGCCCTTCGAGCATCGATTAGTTCCCTAATCATGTAATGGGTCAAATGAAAATGTTGTGAGGACAAAATTCGGCCCGCGGGCCTAAAGTTACCGACCCCAGGTAGTCTCGGTGTTAATGTACATATTTCCTGCTTGTTTTCAGCTGTTGTGAAGAGCTGGGTTCCTACCGGGAATTGGTTTCCTAATTGTCATCTTCGTAACGAAGCTGATAGGTTGACCTATGGAACGTAAGTAACACATTTAGAGATAGAAAATGTAGTATTATACTTGCCCATGTTATAAATATGTGTCTTCCTATTTCGTTATAAATTTGTTAGCATCTATTTTATTTTATGTACAAACATTTTGAAACATGTGTAAAATGTTAAAATTATTGACTTTTATATTAATTCGATTCTGTACACTACATACACAGTTATTCATAATTCCCTGACATATTAAAAGAAATCGCTAGACTTGAATCGTGCAATGGATGGTAACATAGAACATGCCGATAACTAACTAACTAGATGGTTTACCGAACCCGAAGGTTCATCATCGAAGTAACCAAAGCCCTCCACCGGACCCTGTCCTGGGCCAACAAAATCCAGTCTCCTTCAACTCCTATCTCCCATAGATCCCGCCTGAGATTATCCTCCCATCTACGTCTAGGTCTCCCCAGCGGTCTCTTCCCCTCAGGCTTCCCAAATAGTGGACCCAACCAACCAGATGGCTTACCGAACCCAAAGGTTCATCACCGAATTAACCAAAGCCCTCCACCGGACCCTGTCCTGGGCCAACAAAATCCAGTCTCCTTCAACTCCTATCTCCCATAGATCCCGCCTGAGATTATCCTCCCATCTACGTCTAGATCTCCCCAGCGGTCTCTTCCCTTCAGGTTTCCCAACCAGTACCCGGTGCACACCTCTTGTCCCATCCATGCACGCTACATGTCCCGCCCATCTCACTCTTCTCGACTTAATCACCCTCACAATACTGGGGGAGCAGTACAGATTTTAAGCTAGTCATTGTGCAGTTTTCTCCACGCCCCATCGTCTTCCCTCTTAGGCCCAAATATCCTCCCCAACACCCGATTCTCAAACACCTGCAATCTGTGTTCCTCCCTCTGAGGGAGAGACCATGTTTCGCACCCATACAAAACAACAGGCAAGATTATTGTTTTGTATACTTTAATTTTCAGGTTCTTAGAAATCAGACGGGAAGACAAAATATTTTGAACTGAGAAGTAGCAAGCATTTCCGGAATTTAGTCTCCTCCTAACTTCCTCACAAGTATCATTTTGATTTGTTATTGTTGTTCCCAAATATTTGAACTTTGTAACCCTTTCAAAGGATTTATTAGCTACCCTAAGATAATTTTGCCCGCCTGTCTTCTGATGACGAGATACTAACATGTACTTAGTTTTTTCTGAATTTACTTCCAGCCCCACTTGTCTACCAGCCTCTAGTAAAACTTCTGCGTTCCTCTTTATTGTATTTATATCGTCCCCCAATAAATTAACATCATCAGCATATGCCAATAGCTGATGTGTCCCGTTCAATTGCAAACCCTCCTGCCTACCTTGGACCTTCCTGATGGCGTATTCTAGCGCAAAGTTAAAGAGCAAGGGAGACAAAGCATCTCCTTGTTTTAGACCGTTCTTGATGAGGAATGTCTCAGATACATATTTACCTACTCGAATTTTGCTGCAGGTTTCATTTAAGCACATTTTTATTAGACCCACTAGCTTCTTTGGTATACCAAATTCAATAAGAATATTATATAGCACTTCTCTCTTCACAGAGTCATAGGCTTTTTTGAAATCTATAAATAACTGATGTACAGTCCCACCGAACTCCCATTTTTTCTCTAGTATCTGACGAATGCAAAAGATCTGATTAATCGTTCATCTGTTTCGTCTGAACCCACACTGATGAGAACATGCCGATAGAAAGAGAAACTCTCCAAATTTATTTTACATACATCATAAATCCTTTGTGACGCGACAGACGTCAAGCCGATAATTCATTTCAGCTCATACTCGCTGCAGCAAGTCACGATCGATTTGTGAGATGGCAGCGATAATTCGTCTTCGCAGCTAAGGCAGATCCCATGTCAGAGGCGATACAAAGAAATGATCCTTAACGTACCCCCATAAGAAAAAAATCACATGGCGTCAGGTCAGTGACCGGGGTGGCCAGCGAAGCAGCGCACGGTCATAGAACATTTATGAGGTATGCATCCATAATTAGGGTCATGAAGACAGTAAGTACCTCCGAAATG